AATCAAAATGAAATGTCAGACACAACTTTATTTAACCTTTTTTCCCTCAAAACATGTGGAATATAATCTTCTTATTTAATGTAAAAAAGTGGAAAACACTTGACTCTTCTTCGTCTTCCCCCATTGCAGTTTATCTGAATAACATTAACCGCTCCCATGTTTCTTGTAGGGTGTAATCAATATAATTAGTATGCATAAAAATGTCTGGGTTTTCATGGTGTGGTTCGTACAATGTTTTCTACTTTAAAGAAGATATCCACGTAATCCTAATACAAATATTTTGCTATGGTGTATGGAGAATGAATTTTTTGATATTATGATACCGATTTGACTGAATTTTGGTAAATCTGAAGTTGAAACACTGACACAGGCAACCCATGCTGTACTTAATTGTTCCCTTAAGACGTTAACATTTCAATTATGGATCCAGGAGTTGTTCTATAAAACCCCAATTTGTGAAACCAATCATTTTTCTTTACAATCAGTAGAATGAAATTGAAACCTTACTTCGTGAAGTTGATTGAGACAGCTTTTTCCTTGTCATGGACACTTTAGAACCTCCTTTTAAAATCTTAGATCCAGCACTGTATTGACAATGTAGTTCAGTTTCTGAAGCTAAAGCTTCGTCTTTCACTGCTGTGAGTCCAATGGGTTGTGTTGCTTGTTCTAGACCTGCGGTTGCCACATGTAAATATATGCTACTAAGAGAATGTGTATTAATAGTATTGCATGTAGTATGTAGCATTTTTATTAACTGTTTTTTTTTTCTTAAGAAAAATCAAAAGTTGGATCAAAAGAAGATGATCCAACACCAGTACCACCACAAAATAGAACAAAAAATAATCGGCTTCCAGACACAGTAGTCCCTCTACACTACAAATTAAGAATGAATATTGATCCCAACAAGGAAGATTTCAGTGGTGAAGAAGAAATTCAAGTGAACGTCATAAAATCTATGTCTACTCTTGTGATTCACTCCAAAAACCTGAACATCACCAATGTTGAAATCGAACAAGGTAAAGATGATTATGTGCATACATGGCTGTGTGTTTAAAGTCATGTTTGTTGTTAGCAAATTTGCAAATTCAGAAATGTTGACGTGCATATTTAAAAGTGGGTGGGGAGGGGGGAGGGACTAGAATGTTCATTTTCTTTATGTGCAACTCGAACTAAGACAGAATAAGATTTCATACCCACCACTCCCCCCCTCCACCCTCCCGGAAATTGCCAACAAAATTCAACCAATCAAGTAAGAATCTGCCTTTATATTTCACAAGTTTGACAAATTGTTGATTCCAGCGAGGGGGAATGAGGGACACATGCTTCCCCCCCCCCCCAAATTTAATTAATTCATGCTGGATTCCTTTTTATTTAATTAGTGGGAAAATTTAACTTGCTATATGCCCCTGTTCTAACTGATTGTACTTTTTTCAGGTTCATTCAAAGTAAAGAGGCATTATGCCAGCGACTTAAATGACTTCTACTTTATCGAGACCGAATCATCATTTGCACCCGGAAAATACCTCCTAAAAATGGCCTTCCAGGGTTTGTTTAGGAAAGACCTGAATGGCTTGTACAAAGGCTACTTCCGTAAAAAGGACGGCACCATTGCGTAAGTTTTTTGTTTACGTGTTGGGGAATTCTTCCATAAATGTTTTGTGAACATCCTCCATCCAAAGTCTCCCTCAGTTTATCCAAAGTCTTCCTCAGTTCATCCAAAGTCTCCCTCAGTTCATCCAAAGTCTCCCCCACTTCATCCAAAGTCTCCCTCACTTCATCCAAAGTCTCCCTCACTTCATCCAAAGTCTCCCTCACTTCATCCAAAGTCTCCCTCACTTCATCCAAAGTCTCCCTCAGTTCAGAAGCCGATTTTTTCAGCTTTTGTTGCTTATGGATGAAATGGTTTTCACAGGTATTTTGCTTCTACTTTCTTTGAACCCGTGGAGGCTCGTTCCATGTTTCCATGTTTCGATGAACCTGCCCTTAAAGCAACCTTTGATATAACAGTTACACATCCCAAGGATCTCTCAGCCTTCTCTAATAATGGTGTTAAAGAGAAGAAAGAAGAAAGTACAAACTATGTTAGCTCCTTCAAGACAACACCCACAATGTCAACCTACTTGGTATCAATCGTTGTTGGTGACTTAACTAGTTCCAAGGAAATGACTTCTAGTAATGGTGTTAAGGTGAGTGGTTTGTACGGGAGAGAGCAGGATGGATTCATGAATCATGCTGGCTCAGCCTAAGGTCATTGTGTTGATAAGGACCTTTGGATACCTTGATGGGGTAAATCTTTGAGACAACATGCCCCAACATTTCTTATTTTCTAGTGTAGCAACGGATTGTCGATTCCCCCTCCTCGGCTACTTGCAGGTTAGCTGTAATCAGTTGCTGCATCCAGATATCACAATTCGAATATGAGTGAATCATTTACCTTCCTGGGAAACGGTTTTGTCAGATGACACAAATATTCAGTCTGAAGCTTAGCTCATTTGGAGGAAGATGGCACTACTTTCTTTTTTTAACTGTTGATCAAATTCTTGCATAATTTTACCATCTTTTTGTTGTATTTGTTCTAAGATACGAGTATTAGGTCAACCGGATAGAGAAGATCAGATGACATTCGCCTTAAACATGGCCAATGAGACGTTGGTCCAGTTGGAAGAGGCATTTGGCATTAAATATCCATTGGAAAAACTAGGTATGTTCACCGGGTATTTAATTCCACATGTTTCAATTTACATCCTATAAGCTGTATGTTTTGTTGTTTGGCAGATTTGATCGCTCTTCCTGAATGCTTTATTGCTATGGAAGATTATGGTTTGATACACTTCCAGGAAGATGGCTTGCTTTACAAGCAAGGGTTTTCATCAGAACAAGTTCAGTCGTCGTTGCTAATGCGCTGGCTTCCTCATGAGATCGTGCATCAGGTAATGCTTGCATGAGTCTTAGGAGTTTTAGTGATCTTGTTTTATCTTGTACTAAACGTATATTGGTATTTATTATCCAGTAGAGTACAAGCACTATAAGTGTGCAACATAAATACCACTAAATACTGCTAAATTATGCTAATCCTATTGTTTTCTATTGTTTAATTAGCACTATTTACTAATAATAATGCAAAGTGTTGCACACTTTTAGTGTTTGTACTCTAATGCAAGTGTGTGATCTGTTGTGTTGCAGTGGTTCGGTAATCTAGTCACCATGAATTGGTGGGACGATATTTGGTTGAACGAGGCATTTGCTGATTACTTTAACTACTTTGAAGCATCACCAAAATCCATTGCAAGCTGGAAAAGGGTATGGAGCTTCATCTCACACTTAGATGTCTTTATCACTCTCTAAGCTAATCAAAAATGACCAAAAACTATGATGTACTACACGTTTCTAATATCTTAAACCAGGAGTGCGTGAGACTAAATCCACTTGACCAGCAACGCACCGGCAAATTATTTGACTATGAATATCACATCCCCAAGATGAGTCTATTTTAATTTGCGTCAGTATATATTTTTCTTTGATCTCTCATTCCCAGTTTTGTTCTTGCTTTGAGATTATCATTACGATACATGTTTGATCAAAGCACAATTTCATTTTCGTAGGACAAACTCTTTACTCATACCAACGTTGGTTCTGCCCTGGAGCTTGATGCCTTCATAAATACTCGTGAAGTAATTGCGAATCCGAAGAAACTCATGTCAGCTTACATATTTGATGATATTATCTATAAAAAGGTTTGTCTTGCATTGTAGTTTCCACAACATAATTATAATGCTTAAAAAAACTGCTTTCATGCAAAATAATATTTTGCAATTGTTTTTGGTTACAAACTATTGCTGGGTTTCAATCAGCTGATAAAGTCTTTGAATCTCATTCCATGAACTGTCAGCAAGATAGTATTTTCGTCAAGTGAAACGCAGCAATAGGAATGGTGATGGGAATTGGTCATGAATTAACAGGGGAAAGAGTAGCAGATGTTTGTGTTACACTCAATAGACCTATCCCGGCTAAGCTCAAGTGTACACCCAAACAATGGGTAGTTTTCCCGTGGAATACAGAATTCGACCAACAAACTCCAATGGACTACTTCGACGACAAGGCGGCCATCTTGCCAGAGGGCAAAACAAAACAAAGATGACAGAAAATATATAAAGTTTATGTGTTTGTCTTTCCTTATGGGTAAAGGTGATTGATGTGCCATCTCAGTTCATGTTTTGTTGTATTCTTTTGTGGTGAGCTGTTAATATCAATTGACGTCATTACTGTAACAAAGCCTTATTTGCCCCCTGGACGCCCCATTATGCATCGTGATTCAAGATGATTGTCGAAGTAGTCCATAAGATTTTTTAATAGGTATCAATTTTTTCCTTGACGTACTTTTAGAATGCATTGATTCTAAGACAGACATTTACAATTTTCAGCAATTGTCTGTTCCATGTTGTATATTAAATAAATATTTTTGTCTGACGTAGCAATAGTAACCCTTTCCCCTCTTCCCTTTCCCCTTTCCCCTTTCCCCATCTCCCCTTTCCTCATCTCCCCTTTCCTCATCTCCCCTTTCCCCTTTCCCTAAATTTTACGAAGGTAAATTACGATTGTAGAGGAAAATATGTTCAATTAATTTACTTTTTTTTTCTGTTTTGATCTTTTTCTGATAACATCAAGGGATCATCAGTGCTAAGGATGTTAAAGAATTCCTTCCAAGAGCCAAAAAATTTCAACAAAGCCATTAAAGTAAGAAAAGTATCAGAAAATTAAGAACAACAGAGTGATAGACAGACAGACACAAACAAACTATTTATCGTTCTGATCTGGAGCAAACATATTCTTAATTAACAAATAAAACAGCTTTTTCCCTACCTTTCCGTCCTTCATATTTATCTTTTTAAAGAAAAAAAGTCAGTAGCAGCAGGATGTGCTCTGCAAGCCACGGGCAGTGCTGCATTTCGGACCGATGGACATCCATGTCCTAGGATCGTCCTGTTCATAGACAAGATGCAGAGCATGGCGGTAGTACTCCATGAGAGATTTCTTGTAGGCAGTCAAAGATATGTTCTTAACTCATAGATGTTCTGGTAGAGTATTCCACGCTCTGCATGCTCCAGCAAAGACAGAGCGCTGATAGACGACTGTTCCGCATCTTTTCTGAGTGAACATTACTGCGCATGCTCTGCCGTTACTCAATGCTCTTGTTGTTCTGCCTGTATCCCTCATGACTGGTAACACCTCACTTTCTATACACACCAAACCATTAATAGCTTTGAGGAAGAGGATGATGTCTAGTATTTCATGCAAATAAGAGATGGGCAACAGTCTATTAATTCTTGTACTCCATGTCCCAGCGAAATGGCAGTTTGAGTACATAATTGGTTGCGCATTGCTGTACATGTTCAACTTGTTTAATGAGCCACAAAGACTGTGGTGACCAAACCTTTGTAGCATATCCTAGATGGGAGCGTACACTAAGCAAGTACAACGTGTGGCATGTTTGGGTGTTTTTCATTCCCTGGAAGACTGGTAGACAAACCCTGGAAGCTTTTTAGGTTTGGCTCTGTTAATGATTTACCAGTGATTATGCTCGTATCACATAACCGTAATCGGATAGTTTGATTTGGGGATAAGTTGATGTAGCGTGTCGAAGGAAAGTTAAACTAAGAAAGAAGCTCCTTAGAATATTAACTAATTTGCTATCCGGCCAAGTAGCACAGAGGTATGTAACTCATTATATTTAGTTCTCCTACAAGAAATTATCAATATTATTATTCAGCATAAACTTCGTATAGTTGGCTGAGCATTCATTTCTAAGTATCGCTAGACCACGTGTTGCATAATCATTCCCTAATCAAGCACATTTTT